CCCCCCCCCNCCCCCCCCCCCCCCACCCCCAAAAAAATGATCATCTCCCGTATAGCGGCATCTTTTCTTATTTCTTTCTCTTCTAGGGAATCGGTATTCGTGCGGCCAGCACATCTGTCCCCATGCGTTGATCTTTTTAAATTGGGGAAAGGGATTGTAACGCTCTGTACCGAATGGTCGGCTACGCCTAGATTTTGTAACTTAGACTACTCTCTATATTTGGGATGATTTTCCACATCGGGACAGATACCGGTATGCTGGCCGCACGAATCCGTTGATCTTGTTAACATACAATCAAGAAAGGACATTGCAATATTGTGAATATTTAGCTAGGCGTGAATTCGATTTTATATTCAAGATGATTCTCGATCCCCGAAAGGCTCGCCCCTTTTGTGCACAAGATTTGGCATCGGCCTTGGCGTCCTCGACACATCTACCGTATAGGCGTCCTCGAGATATCAAAACTCTTTTCTTTCATGGCGCCTATGCTTATGGAGAAGATGGAAGAACAATTATCGCTTATCGAACTGTTGTCGAAGCAAGTTTCACTTGATTTTTACTTGATTTATATGGTATAAGCTTATATTAATTACACGAATTATAGGCGGAGGCCAAGGCGATCAATGAGGAAAACAAGCTTTATAGAGATAAAAAAAATACAATGTCGAAGGATACCTATTCAGCATGGAATCAATTGGGACATGGACTTTATACGAGTAAGTTAAGTCATGTGCTTATTATGGATCGTTACTTATTACACGGAGCTAATAGTCTCAATAGCAAACAGACCTGCCGGCTGGCCGGGTCATAGGAAAAAATGGTATTGTATTATCGAAGCGAATAGTGAGAAACTTGAGAAATGTAGGCAGAGTATGGATCCCGAAAATCACTAGGGAGGAGGAGGAAGGAGCCAACGCCATTATGGACCGGTAAACGAAGACGCTATTCTGAAGTATGTCGAGACACTGGTGCCAGAAAACCCGGAGAAGGCATTACGCTTTTCATATGCAGCGCTTTCTAAGAAGCTGCAAATGGTCATTCCAACTGGAGCGATAGACAACAATGACTCAGGTTTCTGGGCTAAATGCCGGAAAACAAAGCAGAGGCTACGGTATATGAATACACGAAAGAAACCGTTGCTTGGGAGAATTGGACTAGTGCTGGAAATCCTGGACCGGCCGAAGAGAAACTCAATGAAAACCAAATGCAGGAAATGGTAGAAGTAGATTTCTCAAAGAATTTAGGGAATAGAAGGGCGGGAGTTTGATTACTGGCGAAAAGGTTGAGGCGAGCCGATATCGGTCGTGGTTGGATTGGTGGCGTTCGCTCCTTGTGGCAGCACTAGCACCAAAAACCTAAAAGGAATAAGAGTTGAGAAGGGAAGAGCTTAAAGGAAGGAAGGATGGAAGGAAGGAAGGATGGGAAAGGGTTTGATTTTTGGTTTTGGTTTTCTTTTCAGTTTTTCTTTTGAAGTCTCGGCTGTCGGTAATAGGCTCACGGAGTAGATGGACTTTGGGATGGAATCATACATTTGATATGGAAAAAAAAGGAAGGGGTAGATAGAGAGAGCAATCAATCTAAAGAATGCGAATGGGTTATCAATGAGCATGAGTAAATAAGGGATAATAAATGTGCACTTTGCGCCATCCAGTACTCATGACCCGTAAGAGAGGATGACACTACTACTACATCCCTCCAGCTTTCAAGCCACCAGATACGGATCATCGGGTTTTATGCCACCCCGATAACCAATCCTGCAACCTAGACTAGGTGACCAAGCCAGCAGCTATTATGGAACAAGTGGTCTGCCTCCCTCCTAGTCCGAGGTAAACCAGCATTATATAAAGAGAGCTGTTCCTCCGCCCTCCCCAAAAGCGTCTTGTTCCCCCAAACAACATTCAAATTTCATCCTGTTAAACGATTTCCCAATACTCCGATACACTCTGCAAGCCAAACATGTCTAACCTTCCCTCCGAGCCCGAGTTCGAACAGGCTTACAGAGGTATGACTGCCCCTCTATTATGATCTCACTACTTCTTTCAACCCCGCCATGGGACGACCCCCTCGATAACAGCGATGGGATCGCAATTGGAGTATGGAGAATGGCACATTCGAGTGGATTCAACCATACTTTCAAAAAGAAAACAAGTCTCGCGGTGGTAGAAGAAAGAAAGCTCCCATAAGTGTTGCCGAGTATGAGATCCGAGACGGGCTGAAAAAATCAACGCATCTTCACCCAGATATATATGACTACTATTCTAGCCAATTCTGACATTTTATTTTCCAGAGCTGGCCTCCACCCTCGAAAACAGTACCCTCTTCGAACAAAAGCCCGAGTACAAGACTGCCCTGAAAGTCGTCTCCATCCCCGAGCGCGTCATCCAGTTCCGCGTCGTCTGGGAAGACGACAAGAACCAGGTTCAGGTGAATCGCGGATACAGAGTCCAGTTCAACTCGGCTCTCGGTCCATACAAGGGCGGTCTCCGCTTCCACCCAACCGTCAACTTGTCTATCCTGAAGTTCTTGGGCTTCGAGCAGATATTTAAGAATGCTTTGACGGGATGTGAGTACACGAGATGCCTTATTCAAGCCTCCAGTGCCGTGCTGGTGGCAGAGCAAGGCTGATCTTATACGTGTGCAGTGAATATCGGAGGCGGTAAGGGAGGAGCGGACTTCGACCCTAAGGGCAAATCCGACAACGAGATTCGCAAGTTCTGCGTAGCCTTTATGCGCGAACTCAATAAGCACATCGGCGCCGATACCGATGTACCAGCTGGAGACATCGGTGTCTCACCGCGCGAGATCGGCTGGTTGTTCGGTGCATACAGAGCTGAGAAGAACAAGTGGGAGGGAGTCCTGACTGGGAAGGGTGGAAGCTGGGGTGGATCTCTCATCAGACCTGAGGCTACTGGCTTCGGTCTGGTCTACGTGGGTTATATCCCGGCACTGGCTGGAGATAATAAAAGACTGACAGAAATTAGTACGTTAACCACATGATTGCTTACACGGGTCAAGGCACGTTCGAAGGCAAGACCGTCGCCATCTCTGGCTCCGGTAACGTCGCCCAATATGCAGCCATCAAAGCCATCGAGCTCGGGGCGACCGTCGTCTCCCTCTCCGATTCCAAGGGTGCTCTTATTGCTGCCGAAGGCGAAGGTTTCACCCCCGAGGATATCCACAAGATCGCTGCTCTGAAGGTAAAGCGCCAGTCGCTGACCGATTTCACCGGATCTAAGTACAAGTATGTGGACGGTGCCCGTCCCTGGACCCATGTCAAGGTCGATATCGCGCTGCCTTGCGCGACTCAAAATGAGGTTTCCAAGGAGGAGGCCGAGGCCCTTATCAAGACCGGAGCACGATTCATTGCTGAAGGATCGAATATGGGTTGCACGCAAGAGGCTATCGATGTCTTTGAGGCGCACCGAAAGTCCGAGAAGGAGAAGGCCATCTGGTACGCACCTGGCAAGGCCGCCAACGCAGGTGGTGTTGCTGTGTCCGGTCTCGAGATGGCGCAGAACTCTGCACGCATCAGCTGGACTAGCGAGGAGGTTGATGAGAAGCTAAAGGGCATTATGGAGGCTGCGTTCAAGAACGGTCTTGAGACTGCGAAGAAATATGTGCAGGCCAAGGAGGGCGAGTTTCCGTCGTTGGTTGCTGGATCCAATATTGCTGGATTTGTCAAGGTTGCGGCAGCTATGTTTGACCAGGGTGATTGGTGGTAGTCTATAGATGCTGGGGGTGTCTGTTGAAAGGTGTATATGATGAACCTTGGGATTTGGGCGAATGCGACGGTCTTGCTGTGTGATGATGAATGAATTCAAGAAATAACGACCTTGGGAGCATCCATACTGCGGTATGTGAGTGAGGCGTTTAGTACATTTTTCGCGGGGGATATGGGACAAAAAAATTGCTCAAGAGAGGACCGGGCATGAGAGGCAGCACTGCCTCTGGTGATCAACATCGACACCTTTGACCCTTTGAGATTGCTAAGCTGAGGATTGATATCTTCGTGTCGAAGTTCTGCGAAATAAATTGGTAAAGCGACACGTATGTGGATGTATATGTGTAGGCAGAAGACTGGAAAAGGAGAGGAAGGGTGGGACTCACTCGAAGGAAAATACGCATCCTCGCTGACTAAGTTAATTTAGCGCACCTCTCCTCCGTTCCGCTGGGCGGCATTAGTCATCCCACCCCCGCTGGATTGGAGTTTCGGGCGTCGGGGGTTTCCTCCTTTATTCCACCACACCCGGAAGTACAGTACATTTCTTGATAACTGCGGACTTCCGAACTCACTCAAGAAAGACCGGTCTGTTCAAATTAAACAAAATATCTCGAGCGGACGGAGACGTCTAATCAAAACAAATCAAACCAAATCAATTCAATTCATTCGCCTTGAGCGTTGCCGTGGGAGGCAGGGAAGGGAATACGTCAGCAAAACGCTCCGCCGCTGCCCCCGCCCTCCTCCTCCCTCCCGCCCCGACCGACAATTTTATATCCCCATACATGACAGGTATATCAATCCAAATGCCCGTCGACCCAAATGGAGCAGAGACCTCCGCAGCAGGTGCCAAACGCAAGAGGACTCCGGCCCCGGACGAAGGCCGACAGAGCGTGCCGCCCATGCAGCATTCCGGTGTTGGACCGCCTATCAATTACTTGTCGAAGGCGAAGCCGGAGAGGCTGCGGTTGATTGAGGGGGATAGCGAAACTTTCGGGGATGTGTTGGGAATGATTGATGACTATGAAGGTACGTTTGACTCTTGAGCGGGTTCTTTCATCTGTGAGGAGAGACTTGGTCACGGGACTTTTCGGGGCTTCAAAAGAAGCCATGGAAACTTGGACTTGGGAGTATCAAAATTTCGATCATACTTGATGGCTGTAGTTTTTGGGAATTACCTGGGTCTCAACTCGGTCTTTTTCCAAATTCTGTCTGAGGATTGAAATGTACGCTGGGGTTCATAGCACATTGCAGATACGTATCAGCTATGGCTTGGCGGGATATAAGGCTGAACGAGGATGAAGGGCGTGGTGCATGAGTGTCGCTGTACGTATTCATTTTCGAGCTCATGCTGATATAGACAGGTGTTCTTCAACGACAGGAATCCCTAGCCGCCAACCTCGGGGCAAAACTCGTTGGACCACTGCTCCTCAAATCCTTCGAGAAGCTATTCGATGGACCCATCAAGACAATCACACCATACGCTTTTGGAGTCGAACAAACTCCAGTCTCCTGGCTCGAAATTGTCACGTACGCTCGAACCAATCCAGCAGACTTTGTCCTCACCGAAACCATCCAAGGATTCAGGGCCTGTCGATTTTGGATCAAGGGAGGCCAGGTCGAAATTTCGGAGGACGATTGGAGGCTGATCATGTCTGGTGGTCCCGAACGAATGATCCCTACCCAACCACTCGCCGAGGATGAAGCAGCTGAACTGGGGACGCTGAATATCCTGGAAACTCGCCTAGCTATGCTCATCAAGAAGGCAGACGCTGTTGCTAGCAAAGCGAGACAGCTGAACTACCAGTTGAAGGGAAGAAAGACTGCTGTTTTGAATAGAAAGTCCGCCGAACAGCCTTTGAATCCTGACCCTGAGAATAGGAACTTCACCCCGGCTCCATTCTCGGTTATCAATGCAAGGTCTAATGGAGAAGCGAAGATGCAACAGAACTTGCTGGATCAATTTACTTCGCTTGACAGAAGGCAATCTGCCCCTCACGGCCGACCAAGGACAAGCCGCACTTCCGCCGTGGAACAGCCAACCTTTCACTCTTATGGCTCCCAAGAGCCCGATACTCGCCGACTGTCACAACCACTGAGTTCGTGCGAAGATGGCACAGAGGGCCAGTACCGAGTACTGATGGCCTCTAAAATCGAGAAGCTGTCACGGGGAGACCCTGTATACCCACCCTGTGATAGATGTCGACGTTTGAACTTCGAGTGCACGAAACATCTTACTGCATGTCAGGCCTGCACGAAGAAGCACGCAAAGTGCGCATGGAAGGAGATCAAGGAGGGGGAGCTGGATCACGTGCCGCTGATGCTGGGATTGGGGAATGGAATATCGCAGACACAGATACAGGTCGATTCTAGTCTGGAATTAGGACTGAGAACGGGCCCGGACGGAGGTTTCGGGGCCGGGGATGGTCAACAGCAACAGCATACTCATCCTATGATGGTCGATAGGGAGAGCCACGGGGATGGCCAGCGGGAACGAGAGTGGGAGAGTGGGAGGGAGAGAGATCGGGGGGTAGAGAATGAGCATGCTATGTTGACGCGGATTGCGGCGGCAGCAGCGGGACGATGAGACCTTGAAGACAAATTGGTAAGTTTGCTATAGTACATTATACGCTGGAGGCTGCAGAGCCTGCGGCATTTAATGGTGGCAGTTGGGATTATGTTCTAGATAGCTCGGTATGACAAACAGTAGATCTGTCGGGCGACGATTTCATCCCTTCTCATTATCTACCTAGTAGGACGAGAAGGGGTTCCTGAGCCAAGTCAGGTACTTCCGGGAAGTGAAGCACCGGGGGAGGGGGCTAGCCACTTATCGAGGAAGAATTAGATAACCCAAAATGTAAATATGCCTCTTTATAACTCCTATATCTCTCATGAATCTATCTGTCCGTTTCATTTGTTTGCTGTTGACTTTTTTAATGCTTGCTTTTTTTTTTTTGGAGGGGGTGAAATCGAAAAATCTATAATTGAGATGCGGAAGAGCAACTCCACTCCACTCCACTCCACTCCACTCCACTCCACTCCACCCCACCTTCCGCCCCGCGCTCGGGAGGGAGAAAGGGAAGGGAGGAAAGGGAGGAAGGAAAGTCCCGCTCAGCATGCATACCTACCGGTACATACCTACTTCTCAAGAGCGGGAAATGAAACCCGAAAAGAAAAAGAAAATTAGGAGGGAGGGAAAAATGATTATTTATCGGATCGATTGACGTTCAAATTGATGACCGATAACTGAGCCCTAACACGGGGCGATGAAGGGGAATGTGTGTATATTGATTGCATACATACTTTCGTCCAGTATTTATGATATATGTGTAATGTGAGACGAGATGAGATTTATAGCCAGCGAAAAAAAAATACCCGCAGCCCGCCCGGCAACAGGCAGTAGGTGAGCACAACGGCAGGATTTGAACCTACGCGGACGAATCCATATGATATCTTGATGTGTCACTAAGACCCAGTGTTCGAGTCATACCCATTAACCACTCTGGCACGTTGTCATGACACGTTGAGTGTTGCTGATAAATGTTCGCAGGGGCGGAGAATTTTGCTTATATTATCGGTTAAAAACACTGGGAGAGGGGAGGGGAGTGTGAGTGGGGAGGCGGGCCGAGGATTAGGCGGGTTGGTTGGTTGGTTGGTTTGGTCTCGAAAAAACAATTGAGATTTGAAGAAAGAAAAAGTTCGGCTCGGAATGGAAGACGATAGTATTATATCTTTCTGTCTTCTCTCTTTTTCGTTTTTAGGGGTCTGAATATTCGGTTTGCTAGGTAGCTATTGATAGATATATATACGAAGGACTTGTACGATATGTATGGATAGTATGGAGACTCGTCGAATAACTGCCCGTAGGTCTCCAGCGGGGACTTGTCAATGATTGGGCTGGTTTATCTACCTCCTTTTCCAAATTGCATGCTAAAATTTTGAACTATCTTGGCTCGCTTTTTTAATGTAATTTTGTGAATGACTCGCTTACTGGTGATTGATAATCTGGCTCGTGTAGATAGGTGGGTGGATGTGCATTTGGTCTCACCAAAAACAATATATAAAAATTGTACTTATCGAAATCGCATTTTTTTTCTGTTTCTTTCTTCGCTGCTTTCTGGACATTATTTTCGGATTATTCTCTCCTTCTCCTGCTTTCCTTCCTTTCTTCCTTCCTTCCTTCCTTCCTTTCTTCCTTCAAGATCTTCCCCCAGAGGACGAACCAAACCAACCCGTGACCTGGTGATACAACGACTTTCTGGGCTTGGGATCTCCAGCAATGTTCCACCTCTGCCATTTAATGGTTTCTCTCCAATAATTTTGTAGGTCCTCCTTTCTTTTGTAGCAGTAAGCCCAGAGATTCAACTCGTCATTGTTTACCATGCTAGTTGGCAAAACCATTTGGAACTCTTCAGGATGGTATTGCATATAGGAAAAGCGTATTGCGTTCTCCGGGTTCTCTTCCACTTTTGTCTTGACATAGTTCAAAAGAGTTTCGTCGCTTTGGAACCATAATTTCCGTTCCCTACCATCATCATCATAGGTATGCTCTGGAATCCATACTTTGCTTGCAGCTTTAAGCTTTGCACTATCCGCTTCGACAACACAAAACCATTGGAAGTATTCCTCGCTCGGTTCCGTTTGGAAACCTTCAGGCTTGTTTACTATTTAGATTATTAACTCCGCGTAATAGGTAACTATCTATAATCAACTTACCCAAATCAAAGCCCTGCCCTATTTGGGTCACTTCATCATCATCGAGTCTTGGATCTCTATACGGCTTCAAGTGACTGTTGATGTATTCGGCTTCCCTCTATAATTCGCGCGATTAATGTAAGCTCACCTATTATATAAATCAAGTAAAACTTACGTCATAAACAACTCGATAACCGATAAATTCTCTTCCGTTGCGGTTGACTCCATAAGCGCTATTAAGGAAGAAGCCCAAGGCTAGCAAGATCGAGCAAATAGTAGTAGATTGCGATGACTGCATCATTTTGGAAATACCGAAGTAGTTTTGGAGTTCAATAAGTCTTTCGGCTATGCGAGCTGAGGAAGGTGATAGTAAGGAAGGTAATGGACTTAGTCTGAGGTAGGTGCAAGAAGGGTCTCTTTCTCTCTTTTATAATCTTTGACCATATTCATGTCACTAATATTAGTAACCGTATTTGCAATTTCTACGATGATTATAAATAATCGTGCCCCAATACCTTTACTTGTCTTTGCATTTTTATATCGAAGATTATCATAGATATAAAGTCGGCTTTGCGCTTGGCCAACTATTTATATCATTGCAATCTTCCTTCTTAATTGTAGAAGTATACTATGGGAGGTCTTACCGGTACCTGTCCTACCTTGAAGGCAGGTGGGGTTACCCGCATTGACTCGACAGAGTGGCGCGCGGAGCTGCTAATAAGGTATAATCTTCGTTTCTTAACTGATCAGTGCGTTAATTGCGCAAAGAGTACTAGTAGTACTACTACTACATAAATTGACCTAGATAAAATAGGTCGATTATTTCCTATGCCTCGAAGAAAGTGGAGTTGTATTTCCTATGCCTCAACCCACTTTTGGAGTAGGCTCGCCTAGCCAAATCTACTCGCTGCTTTATACAAGAAAATTTTTTCAGTAATGCCGCTTATACTAGAATTATTTTTTGAAGTTCTCGATTGTAATTTTAAAGCTATAAAAAAAATTAATAGAAATAGATAAATACAATTCTATCGATATGTGTTTTTAATTACAGATATCAGCTTAAGAATCAATTCTAAGAGATACGTTGTCCGCGCAACTATCGATCTTATATAACGAAATATGTTTTTTCTATTATACCGATACCGTAGCTTCCTTAGTTCGAACGTCGTAGTTGCAACGAGCGCGCCGCTTAGATGTATCGTTAAAAGAGCATACGTATTTTATATAAGTCTTTTCGTTATTCGGACACTTAAGCTCTTATCGCTTGTAGATAGCTTGATTGAGTATTGCGTCTTTAAAAGCTTTTAGATTGTGAAATACATCGCTTTGCTGAATTGAAATAGGTCTTTCTTAAGAATCTTTAAGAAATAGATCTATATCTATATTAGAATCGAGTATACCGAAGCCGAGGTCGTTAAATGTAGCGTCAAACAGCGAGTAGATTTGGCTGGGCGAGCCCACTTTAAAAGTGGGTTGAAGCATAGGAAATACAACTCTACTTTCTTCGAGGCATGGGAAATAATCGACCGTAAAAGACCGGCCCAGTTTCGCCCCGTAAATCCTAAAGCCGTGGTTTTTGAATGGCTCAAAGCCCTGTCAACTCCACTATGTGGATTAAAATCTGGCCTAAAAATACTTTCCAAGGCTGAATGAATCTTTATAAGGTTATTGGTTCAAGCCTTGGTAAGATCCCTTGCAAAATTATACTAGATCAATTGGCCCTCTGCGCAATCAACGCACTGATCAGTTAAGAAACAAAGATTACGCAACTACAGTACGTTATTAGCAGCCCTGCGCGCCACTTTGGAGGGTCCACGGACTGTCTTCGGACCGTCTCTTTTTAGAGATGGTCCTTGACTTTTAGGACGGTCAGTGGACCACTCGTCGTCCAGACTTATTAAAATAAGATTGTATTTTCATAAATAATGAAGTGATCTAAATCGCAACTGAAATGGACCAGTTTTAATCTATTAGATCGTCTTTTATTAGAGTCCGTGTTTATATGGAAAGACCGTCGTCCTAGGACTGTCCCGACCCCTATTCGAAAGCTGGTATCAATAAGCAAACATCTCGATCGCTTCCTATCTTTTGCAGAATCGATCTGCTCTAAAATTTAATCGACGAAAGCGTTGACGGTCGTAAGGTGGTAGCGATACCAAGAAATATCTTAGCACGGATTTATTAGATTATAATCAAAAACTGTATTGTTGAAAAGATAGTATTATACTAACGATTACACCTCGTTGAGAATAATCACCGGACCAACTCGAAAAATTAAGGCTAAATCATAAGAGAGTGTAGCTATAAAATCTGAGCGGGGACGACTATAAGACGGTCAAGGGACCGTCTCTTCGGAATGAACTATTCCTGATGTAAAACTAGCGCTGATTTGGAACGGTTCACCGACCGTTCCCTTAAAGGAAGGGTTAGAGGACCTGCCTTTAAGGTATGGTCCAAGCATTGCGTTTTGGATACCCGCCCGACGTAAATAAATACTACTATTACTACTACCACTACTACTATCAAAAAGATCAACGTACAAGCAAAGTGTAGGTGTGATGATAGGTCGGAGTGGATCGGAGTGGATCGGGTGCTTAAACACAATACTTTCCATAGTGGCCAAAGGATTCCCATGCCTCGAACATCCGTAGTGGAGCATGATTTCGCATGCCTCAACCTTTGATGACTCTTATTGTCAATGGCATTTGTCCCAGCTCTCGTTAAACTCAGTTGGATTTATTTCCTTACTATGGTACTCTATATCTGTATTACGCAGGTGTCTCTCTCCCTCTCTCCCTCTCTCTCTACTGCTTGCTTCCTTCATTCCTTCAAGCTCTTTCCTTCTCAACTCTCATTGTTTCTAGCTCTACATTGTTGCTGGTGGCGCAACCCACGCACGCCAGCCACGCAACATCCGCTTGTACCAGCTCAACTTGTTCGGCGCAGTCCTTCCGTTAGACGTACCGCTTGGTCTAGGTTCGTTTGAGTCAGGAGCTCCAATAATCTTCCACTTCGTCCAATCAACGGCTCGGCTGGAATAAGCTAGTAGGTCGCTCTCTTTTTCCCAGCATTGAGCCCAAATACCCAAGTCATTCTCGTTTATCGTATCAGTTGGAATGACCATTTGCATCTTGTCAAGGGCAACTGCAACGTATGAAAAGCGTAATGCTTTTTCCGGGTATTCCACGGCACTTGTTTCCTTGATATACTGCAGAATAGTTGGCTCGTTTCCGCTCCACATGGTCCACAATTTTGTTGACGCGTGAGTTTCTGGGATCCATATTTTCTCAGCCGCTCGGATTCTTTCCTTGTCCGCTTCGATGACACAATACCACTGGTCATCATCATCCTCCCAGTCACCAGGTTGGTCCACTATTTAAATTGTTATTAACTCCGCGTAATAAGTAATTAATGATTTCCAGGCATGAATTAACTTACCCACATAAAACCCATGTCCTATTTGGCTGAAAGCTGCGCTTTTCAGATCGAGTGCTTTATCTCTGTAGAGCCTTCCATTTTTATTGATCCATTTGGCTTCATCCTATAATTCGCGTGATTAGTATAAGCTTATATTATATAAAATCATGTGAAACTTGATATAGAAGTCAGATGAAACTTACTTCGGAAACGGTGCGATAACCGAGAAGTCGTCTTTCATTTCCATGAACGCTACTGAAGAGAAAGCTCAAGGCTAGCAAGGTCGAGCAGACAGATTGCGATGAGAACATTGTGTTGAAAGTACCGAAATAGTGTTGGAGGTTTATAAGTCTTTCGACAGGGAAGAAGATAATAAGGAAAGTGATGGTAAGGAACGTGATGGTAACGAACGTGATGGTAATGAACGTGATGGTAATGAACGTGATGGAGTTGATGTGTGAAGTAGCTGCTCAAAGGGAGCTGTATCTCCTTTTTATAATGTATCTCTTTGACTGTTGTAATTTTAATCCGATATCATATTCATTTTACTAATTTTAGTACTTGGTGCGGCTAGCATACCGTATAATCTCCCACAGTCAGCGCGCTCCACCACCCAGAGTTCATTGATCTACGGACAGCGTTTGCGTTCAATCTTGGAGTACGAACTGATCAGTGCTGAAGCGCAGCAACACCTGAGTCACTGCAAATACTTTAGATATATCAATAATTAGTATCAAATACAGCTCTTTGCTGCGCTTCAGCCCTGATCAATTAGTAGTAGTACTTACTATTCCCCCCCCCCATGAATACATGTCGAAAGTATAATTTCGCAAGGGATCTTACCAGGGCTTAAACCAATCAACTTATAAGAATCCAGCCTTGAAAAGTATATTTAAGTCAGCTTTTAGTCTATATAATAGAGTTGACAGGGCTTTGAGCCATTCAAAAACCACCGCTATATGATTTATGGGCCTAAACTGGGTCCGACATGTATTCATGGGGGGATAGTAAAGAAAGATCATCCTAAAAATAGATAGGAATTTGTGCTTCGGTAAACATTTATAATATATTTATAATGGGTTTATAATATTGCAATCTCCCTTCGGAACTGTATACCGGTATTGAAAAGACAACGTACGGAGTATAAATGTAAGAATAGGTCGGAATGGGTCGTAGTGGATCGGGTCCTTAACATGATTTCGCATGCCTCAACCTTTACAGTAGTGACGCTCATTATCAATGGCATTTGTCTCCAGCGCTCGTTAAGCTCGGTTTGATCTTTTCCTTATTGTGGTATTCTACCTGCTCTATCAGAAGATCACGCATAGATAAGGTAGGGAGGGACAGATATGCTGGCCGCACGAGTACAACATGTGCAGGATAGGTCCTCCCCTTCGTCCACTGAATAGTAAATACATTCATATCCATCCATACCTTAAAGGGTAGTAGGGGGTCATTTAAATGGTTCTCTGATCCTCTTTTATAAGAGACGGCCATTGGACCGCTTAAATTCAGTATTAAGCTCTTTTCAAGAATAGTTTACCGAGAAGACCGTCCCATTGAAAGAAACTGTTTTGTAGCCGTCTTATAACTTTCCTCGTCTATATTTTTAAAACAAGCTTACTAATAAGCTCGTTTTAAAAAATTAAAGTAGTTCGATAACTATTTTAAAAAGATATAGTTGTAAATAAAAATCATTTCTTAAATGAAATCGTTTTCATAATAATGTAATAGATTCGATGCCAAGATATTTCTCGGTATCGCTACTACGGCTTATATATCAACGCTTTAAAATGTTATAACCGGAATCGATCGATAGAGCAAAAGTTTACCCGCGATCATAATGCGCTACCTTAGCTTGTAAAAGGGGGTGGTGTGGTAGAGGGTGGACTAGCAAGTAATAAAAGAGAAAAAAAAAAAAGATTATTTGCTTATTAATTCTCCGGGACGGTTTTAATTTCGGGGACGGCCTCAAGACGGCTATAGGACGGTCTTAAAACGCTCAAAAACGGTCCTAAGACGATTTTTATACGAAAAGACGAGCATTTAAAAAAGAAGATTTAATCGAATAAAATAAGTCCATTTTAGCTACTATTTAAATGATTTAAATAGTTTGTTTTCAAATTCTACTTAATCTTAAGCATCGGCCTAAGGTAATCTACTACCGGTAGCTATGCTAATCTATTAAAATCGTCCTTCAAAGAGATGGTTATCAGACGATCTGCTGACCGTCTAAAAGCTCCTGCATTCCCCTTTAAGGTGTACCTACTTGTATACCGGTATACTTGTATACTTGTATACGTAGCGGATAATTCCCTCTGACCTTTGGAAAGTGCTACCGAGAGTTGGCAAGGGTATATATATATATAGTCAGAGCTTCTCGCCCCTCTCCCCTCTCCCCTCGCTTCACTTCACTTCAATCCATCAAGCCAACCTTCTCCCATCATCCTTCTCTAAACCTCAGACCTGTCCTCCTCATACCGATCTGCGCGGATATAAGAGAGTGAGCGGCCTAGGGAGAATGGCTTCCACTAATGGTTCCCCCCATGTCAGCGGCTGGCAGTCAGCGGCTGAAAGTCCCCGGCAGTCGCCGTTGTCACCGCCACCGCGGCCGCCGCCTGAGTTCGAGATTTACATATGGCATCCCAGATACCAGATGTGCATGCGGTACTTCCTCGACCACGCCCAGCATTCGATACCCGTGCAGGCGCTGGCCGACCTCATGAACATCCAGCTGCCCTTCCAGATGCATCCGCATCCCATCAACAGGTTCGAAACGCTGCCGGTTGGAGGTGCGCACCCCCATGAGCGCATGCCAGGCCCGGAGCGCCACGCGCGGTTCGTATCGCTCGTGTCCTATATTCGACGATTGGTCGCCACTGGCCACGACAACCCGCGCGTGCTACACGGCTTCTTTGGGGACGAGTGGCAGGCTGGGGTGGGCGGGCTGCACGAGATCGAACGGCGGAACTACATGTTTGCGGCGAAGAGCGTGTCCTGGCTGCAGTGCAAGGAGGCATACGACATGAACCCCCATGAGACGGTGCCGTTCATGCAGCCGCTGAAGGACGTGACCGAGGAGGAGATCCTGCGGGCGGAGGTGGCCTGGAGCGATTGGATGTTTATGCAGGACTGGAAGCTGGGCCCGAGGTCGCTTAGCCTGTCTCCGCCCCCGGGGCTGTGGAGGGAAGGCCGCAACTGAAACGGGGAGTCTGAGGGTGAGAGAATAGGTAGGTACAATACTGCTACTGGTAACGATAACGTTAAGGTGTTTTACGGATCGGGCATCAGATGCCAGTGGACAGGGAGGGGAATACGGAAGATGGAATGGAACGAGTCGATGGCATGGGATAGACGGGATGAGATGGGATGGGAAACACCCTACCAAAAGGTTCAATTATACAATCAGTCTTCGTAATTACCTTGAAATTCAATTAATTCAAAAACGTCGAGCCCCCTTCCACCTCTCTTAGCGCACACGAGCTCGTCGCCGCTCTTTTCTCCTTTTTCCTCCCGACTTCGCGGCCGCTCTTACTTATCGAGTAGTGATTCATCGATCGCGATCTAACTCACATGCCGTAGGGATACATGATGGAATAGAATCTAGTGCCTAAAGTATGTATGGACGAAGGGCCAGCAGTGTCCTGAGATGATATGTATATCTAATAAGATCAAACATGCCTCTGTTTATACTTGCTGGATTGATGATAAGTACCTACGTACCTATCAAATATCGCTTGATGACGCAAAAATCGCAAATTGCAAATCGCAATCCAAATCCAAATCCAAGCTATCCTAATACCAACACTAACCAACAGCACAAACACCCGTTCTCGTAACGAAACATAATTAGACAAAAAGCCGTGCTTCTTTCTGCTTCTCCTGCTTCGATTCGAGGCTGAGACGGACGTAAAAACGGCATGGCATGCCGAGAAGCTGATAACTACGGTAGGTACTCACGGTACGACCAGACTATACTCCATAAATCGTCATCAATCACACCACGGCACCGCAATCGTACGTACCTAGGTAGGTATTCTTCCATGACGATCTCCGTACTTACGCTCGAGACGCCCAGGCCCATGTGCCAGCAACAGTGCGTGCGTGCGTGCATGCGTGGCAGCAACCGTTCTCTTCTCGTCCTGTCCTGTCTTGTCTCTCGCTTGGGCCTTTGTGTGAATTGGGTTGGATTGGGTTGGATTGGATTGGATTGGATTGGATTGGATTGGATTAGACCACTACCACGGCCACCACGGCCACGGCCACGCCATTACGCCACCAAGATAGGTAGGTAAACAAAGCGCACACAGCCCGCTCGAATCGCTCGAATCGATCAAAGCGAGTCCTTTTCCGTACCGGGTTCCAAGGCAAGGGGAGTTAGGTGGGTGGGTGATCTGCAATGCAACGAATGCCATGCGGAGGGGACGTTCGCTCGCCCTCCCGTTCGCTTACCCGCTCGCTCAGCCGCTCGTTTGTCTGGTTTCGTGTCTCTTTGTCTCTGTTTCTCTTCTCGGGAAGAAAAACAGACAAGAACAAAATAAAAAACGAGAGAAGGTCGGGAAGGGGGACAATCATTCTCTTTCTTCTCCTCTCTATAAAGGAAAAGTAGACGGGATCTTTTACTCTCTACTCGCTCACCTCTTGTGGTTCTCAATCTCTCTCTTCTCTCCCTCGCTTCTATTTCGATTTCCCTTTTTCACCTCGCGATAGCTGGGTATTGTTTATTACTATATCCATTCAAGCGAAAGTCTCCAAACAACTGAGCTTTCGCTTCAATCAAATATCAAGAGAGAGATAGACCATCTTGAATTCCTCACGACCCTTTCTTTTCGTGTCACCTTTTCATCTTCTTCTTCCTCTTCTTCCTCTTCTTCTCCTCGTATAACACCAATCAATCAACGAACGAACGAACGAACGAACGGATGAACGCCATTTTTTCTTGACCTCAAACACATCTCCTCACCCGAACAAAGAGGCCTCACAAACAAACGCCCTCTCATCCCTCGCTCGCTCGCTGTCATCCATTCCCTTCGTCACGACCCGAGTACCACTATCACGACCGAAACACACACACACAACATGTCATCCAAACCATCCATCACAAGTCTCGAGATCCACGAAAAGTCAGAGCCGCAACGCCCGCAACGCGGCTGCAAGCCGAACCCGAGGTCCAAAATCTGCGGGCTCGTCCCGCTGTGGCTCCTCGCGTGCGCGCTCCTCTTGGTCGTCGTGATCGCCATCGTGGTGCCCATCGCCGTGGTCTTCAGCTCGAGCAAGAAGGGGACGCCCCGGTCCGAGGTGTTGGTACCGCTCTACGTGTATCCGAGTCCCGGGGCCTGGGACCCGCTGTATCAAGCGTTCGTACCCCTCAAGATCTCAGTTCTTTTTCTCCCCTTCTCTTCTCTCCCTGTTACTTTGTTCTTGTCTCTTTTCTGCTCTCTCATTGTTGGCGGTTGGTTGGTTGGTTGGTTGGTTGGTTGGGCGCTGGGCAAAAGAAAGCAAGAAGAGAAGCGGAATTCAAGGTTAAAGGAGTCGAGCGACTGACACTCATGCAGAGCCGAGCGCCATCCGCACCTGAACTTCACCGCCGTCATCAACCCGGCGTCGGGCCCCGGCTCTGGTCCCGAGCCAGATGGGAACTACACGCGGGGTATCTCGAAGCTCAATTCGTACGCCAACGTCCGGACCGTGGGCTACGTGTCCACGAGCTGGACGAACCGGAACATCTCTCTCGCGCTGGCGGATATCAAGACGTACTCGAACTGGGCGACGGATGCCTCGGTTCCGGATCTGGGTGTAAGGGGTATCTTCCTGGATGAGGGGCCGACGGTGTGGACGGCCGAGAGCCAGGCGTACCTGGAGGAAGTTGCGGGTGTCATTTGGGGCGATGAGAATTTCGGCAAGGGACCCTTGGTGAGTTCTGCACTGTCCTTCTCGTTCTCGCTCTGCCTCCTTTGGCCGTGGGGGCTGTTCGTCCGGAAACTCTTGGGCTTGCCAGAGCAGCAGAGTTGCCTTCGAGGGTTGCCCGAGAAATCTCGCTTATCTTAGTAAATCCCCTCGCTGACCAGCTCTCAGATAATCCAAAACCCAGGCGTAATTCCAGACCAACGATTCATGCCCTCTTGCAATCTCTCCATCGTGTTTGAAGAAACCTACGAGAGCTACCAGACCCGCGGAATCGACCAGGCCATCACGGCGTTCCAAGCTCTATCCAAGTCCGATCGAACCAACATGGCTGTGGTGATGCATAGCCTTCCTGCTACCATTTCCGCCAAAGAACAGGCAACGCTCGTCAAAGGCCTGAGACAGGTGGCTGGGAGTATTTTCCTGACTGGCTTGTCGGTGGACTACTATTCCAGCTTTTGGGATGGATGGGGCGGTTTTGTAGATGATGTGGTTGCGAAGTAATGAATCTTGGGAAAGAGGCTGGAGCCTGCGAGGTGTGGCTGGCAGCACCTTTTCTTCTATAAACAGTGCCGCTCAGAGTCTGGCATACTGTGATGCTATTATGATGAGACGAACGATTGAACGAAAGTGGTTTATTGTGCAGTGGGAAAGAAAAATGGAAATAGTATACAAGAGCAACGATGGGCGACATTGGTTTTTGGCAGTCCCAATCCGTACATAACTTTCGCTTGGAGTAATGCAATACACATATATAGGGTATGATACACGTGATATTGGCTGAACATAAAAATGAAGGACGCAGAAGTAGAGTGCCACTGAAACCCAGTGGTCTTCATCGATAATTGGCACTCGCCCAGTGCTTACCAGAAAATACTCTTCCGCATCATGAGCCTAGACTTGCAGGAGTTGAGAGCCTGGTCCTTGGGTATCCACCAATACCTACCAAAATTCAAAGGTTAGGTAGAACATTATCGTATTATCACCTCCTTGCCGAAACATTCCCACCCCATGTCTGCGGCTGCCACTCCTCACTCGGTCCACCGCGAGCCTTCTTCCAAGGATCTTCTTTCTTTAATTCTTTCTTCGGCGCTTTCTCATCCTCAATTCTCTTATTTTCCGGTTCCGGTGTCTTTCTGAAATCGTGCCTTGTCCCGTCCGGAACCTGCATTCTCATCGCCTCCTCGCCTGTCTGCACATTGCCTTCTTCCGTCTCCTGTACCCCGACTGCCTCCCTCCTCTCCTGCACAGACTCGTAGCCCCCCGGATCCTTGACCTCCATCGCAGGCAACGGTTGGCTCCTCTCCGGCGTATCCAGAAAGCTAGGTTTGGCAGCCCACCTCGCATCTGCTTGTGCAGCCAGAATCTTCAGGTTCCGCTGCCGCACCACGTCCTGCGACTGTTCCGTAAGGGATGGGGGTTCCGATCGCGTGTGTCGCAGCCACTGGTGCCACTGTGGCGAGATCCTGATCTCGCTGTACTGCGTCGTGGAGGGGAATTTCACGATTCGTCGCATGCGGTGCTTATGCGAAGAGAGCGTGTCGCGGAACTCCCAGAAAGAGTTGCCTTGAAGGTCGAAACCTGAGGGGTGTTAGATCGGGCAGGCGATGAAGCTCTGCAATTCGATTGAGAATAAGAGAGAGCGTGCGAATGATTTGCTTACCGACGAGGAACCGTTTCCGCCATGGCAACTTCAATGCTTTCCATCTGTACCAAGCTTGTGTGAAAGTGCTTGGAGTTTTGGACGACATGGTGAGGATGTGAAATGGATGAGATGGCATTGGTTACGACGGACGGCATTCATAATCCAGCATTAAATGTAAGCTGGGATTGTTGGATGGCCCAAGCGTCACGCCTCGGCTTTCCGAAGGCTTCAATATCGAGAGCTGGGAATCAGCGTGAGTGACACGTGATTGGAAGGGGCTCGCTTCACGTTTTGTTTGTTGATAGATAATCGACACTATCTAGGCTGGCAACATTCAACGCAGTTGGATCAACAGAGAATTTGACATGCAAAATAAAGTGAGACTGTACTTGTAGATGCTTCTCCCACCTGCTATTACTTCAATTGCTTCAACCTTAGCTATCTTTTATGATCTTAACTCACGTGCCTCAAGCTCATCTATCGTCGGAGGCTCCGTCTGAACCACCGACCACACCTCCTCTCCCTACCACACCTACGTGCATTCAACGCCGCCAACTGCTTATTTTTATTCAATTGCTGTTGCACCGCATTTCTCACTCGGCATGTTCACAGCTACCTATCCATGATAATCACATTCCGACCAGCGCAATGTCGCAAAGGACCACTGAGGCCCGCACCATCCAAGCGCTCACTACCACGAGCCAGCCTCGTGTCCTAGCCTCCTGCCTACCCTACAAGGCCTTTTACTTGATGGACTATCTCCATAGGCCATAGGACGATGTCTGGCAGCACCGGTCTCTCTATGGGCTCTGCTTAAGTGTCGCTCTGTTATCACCCGGAACGGGAATACGAACAACAGGGAAGCCGAGGCGTCCTTATCTCTCCTACTTATCTCTCGGACACTCTGGGCACTGGGCTGTCGAGGCTTCGAGGCTCGAGGGTCGTGCGCGGGCCTGGCTGCACCCCCACAGAATAGAAGTAGAAGTAGAAGTAGAACCCTTGCCGGCTCTATTTCTATCATCTGCCTTTCAATTATCTGTCTCCTGTTTCTTTCTTTTCTTTCTTTCCGTTCTTCAACTTCCTTTCGGCGATTTTTCCAAGTTCAGAGAACGAAGTTTCGGCTCTTGATCGCCTTATCAGCCTTGTCCACGGCTAGCTCCTTATCTTGACAAACCTCAACATCACCGATAAGAACATTTCTCTATTATTCTCACATCTTCAACTGCGAGATATTTCCAATTCAGTTGAAATTGCTTAAACAGACCTGTTCCCGTTGAGATCAGTCAGTGGAAGCCCTCGCAATGGTCTACCCCGAGAGCCCAGAGGCCGCCTCCTACCCAACACCCGCCTACACCCCTCCCTACGACTCCAACATCCCACTCACGGTGCTCGTATCGTCCAGAGCCGTCATCGTTGACACGGAGAACAACCTGGTCCTGTCTCCAGCAACGATCACCATATCACCTCAGACTGGCACCATCCTCTCCATCCTCCCAACTATTCTTCCGGCGTCAAGTTTCGCGGCGAACGCTGAGTATATCGACCACTCCCCTCACTTGTTACTTCCAGGATTGGTCGATGCCCATGTCCACCTTAACGAGCCGGGGAGAACGGAATGGGAGGGCTTCAACACGGGCACAAGGGCTGCTGCATCGGGTGGTGTGACGACGGTCATTGACATGCCATTGAATGCCATCCCGCCTACTACGACTATCAACGGCTTGCACGAGAAAATCAAGGCTGCCGAAGGACAGTGCTGGGTTGACGTTGGATTCTATGGTGGTATCATCCCTGGCAATGCAGACCAGCTACTCCCACTCGTCGAAGCTGGCGTGCGAGGATTCAAGGGCTTCCTGATTGAGAGCGGAGTAAGCCATTCACATCGAACGTAGATTAAGGTACTAAGGAGAAATGCTCAGGTCGACGAATTTCCCGCCGTATCCTCGTCCGACGTCTCCCTCGCCATGACCACCCTCGCTTCCCAAACCACAACCCTCATGTTCCACGCCGAGATGATCCCACCCATAACCGAATCTGTAGGCGACGACGTGCAGACCTCTCTTCCACCACTCGCCCCCTCCGGCCCTCTCTCCTCGTACAACACATTCCTTGACTCCCGCCCTCCAGCTTTCGAAACGTACGCCATTGAAGAAATCCTGTCTCTCGCCCACCTAGCCCCAAATCTCCACCTGCACATCGTACACTTATCCGCGCTGGAAGGTGTACCGATCCTCCGGGCAGCCAAGGAACGAGGCGTAAAAATTACCGCCGAGACATGTTTCCACTACTTGGCGCTCACGTCCGAAGATGTCGACGACGGGGACACGCGGCACAAATGCTGCCCCCCGATCCGCGACTCGGCCAACCGCGACGGCCTCTGGAAGGAACTCGCCAAGCCGGACTCCGTGATCCAGACCATCGTCAGCGACCATAGCCCCTGCACTCCGGAGCTGAAGCTCCTGCCCGAACGCCTAAGCCACGGTTGCGGCGCGGGAGGCCACGGGCACAAAGGCGTCAACGGCGAGGTCCTCTCTCAAGAAGAAGCCGACCAGAGAGAAAAGGGCGATTTCTTCGCGTCCTGGGGTGGCATCTCTTCCGTCGGTCTCGGCCTCCCCATCCTCTGGACGGAAGCCACTGCCCGGGCCTCCTCCGCGTCCGCACCTCCTCCCATCTCCATCCTCGACGTGGTGAGGCTGTGCGCGGTCAACACCGCGACGCAGGTTGGGCTGGGCCACCGGAAGGGCGCGCTGAGACCGGGCATGGACGCCGATATCTGCGTCTTTGACGACCGCAGCACCTGGGTCGTGGGTAGGGAGGAGATGCTGTTCCGGAATAAGGTTAGTCCGTACCAGGGCAAGACGATGACGGGCTGCGTGAGGGAGACGTGGGTGAGGGGCCACAAGGTGTTTGAGAGGGGTGCGGGGAATGGGGGGTTTGTAGGGAAGGAGGGTCTGCCGGTCGGGAAGCTATTGTTGGAGAAGAGGAAGGTGTAGTAGAGGGAGGGGTGGGACCAGTGGGAGAGACGAGAACTCGATGGATCTGGTTTTGATGTTGATGTTGATGTTGCATTTCGGGACAGAGCATTGCGTGCTTGCATATATAATAACATGATGACAGGATGCATATGGGCCAGGACATGGCCGCTTAAGTATAGGGGCTTTAGCTGTGAAGCGATATTACGAGAGAATGAGTATACATTCATTTTTTGTCTCATCCACCCAGTACTTACCCCAAACGCACATCTTTGCTTCGGACACCTACGAATTCATTTCTATATCCCCATCTATCCGCGTAAAACCAAATCACAGCGCAGCGTAGCCGAAATCATAAGGGGCGAAGTGAAAAGTTGGTTCCAGTTCCACAACATTTACTAACTAGCTAGGCAACCACTCCTATTATTATCATTAGGATTATTAACTGTCGCCAATCGACTTTCTTCGCTCGCCTAGTTAAGCCCATGAGGGGTTGTCTTTGTTTACTTACATCTACGAACATCTACATCTACACTTACTTCGCTTCTTACTCTCTCCTCTCCCCCCGCCCCCTCCCTCCCTCCCCCCCTTCGCCCTCTAGAATTGTTCCTTCAAGATCAAGATGGAGATGGGTTTTGAGATGGATTTGAGATGAGATGAGGAGCTGCAGCTGCTGCGCCTCTCGATCGATCTACGAGTGCGTGCCAGCTGTGAGGATGGTGCGCCGTCCGCCCGTAGGATCGTGAGTGAGGCTGTCTCCCGCGGCTCCTCCTGGGGCCTTGACGGCGGCTTCGTCGACGTCTTTTCGTTGGTGGATGGGTGTCGTCAGCATGGCGAGGGGAGATAAATATATATATGTATATATGACGCCGTGTTTGAAAGAGATTGAATGAGGATGGAGGAATAGGAGAGACTCTGTTGGCAGCGGAGATGTGGAAACGGACGATTGGGGATTAGAAGAAAGGTTCAACTCCTAGGTTTTAGAGAGAGAGAGGAAATTTTCTTGTTGAGATCCGAGTGAGAAGAAGGAGCATTTTCCCTGCCTGCCGCTTCCCCCCCTCCCCCGCGCCCCCCCATCTGGCCCCCATCTGAACTAATCCAAGTATGCGCCATATCTATCCGAAAAACCGATCGTCGAGAAGGCCGCGAAAAAAAACACAAAACAAAAAATGAGTTACCACTCACCCTTATACTCCTCGTCGCTCCCCTGCCCTGTCCAGCGCCACAGCTTCTCCCTGCGAAAAACCTCATAATCCCACTCCTCATCCTCCAGCCTATGGCGGCCAGCCGTATACACATAGCTCTTGGTCGTCCGCTGCTCCCCCTTCTTCCCCTCCCCCTTCCCCTCCTCGTCCGCAAGCAGGGTGACGGTGACGTCCTCCAGCGCGTACTCGTCGCCCTCGAAGCGGTCGAGCTTCCAGACGTCGGCGGCCGTCAGGCCCGTCACGTAGGTGCCGCGCACCTCGTGGGCCGGGGAGGCTACGATGCCCGGGTAGTCGGCGTGGCGGACCTTGTGCCGGCAGTAGGAGGGGAGGAGGGCCGGCGTGATGGTCAGCTGGGAGGCGAGGAGCTGGGACGGCGCGTGCGAGGGGGAGGTGAGGCTGAAGGAGGGGCCGTAGAGGACGCGGTGGAGGATCTCGCGGGCCATCTACGTTTTTGGGGGAGGGTGGAGGTTAGCGATGATCCTCATTGTGTGGTGGGGAGGTTGGGGGGGGGGGAGGTACCAGAGTGCCGTAGAAGAAAGCGGTTTTGTCGCCCATCTTGCTGGCTGATCCTGTGTCGTCGGTATCTGTAGATTGAAGTGTAAATTGATCAGTCTCTCAAGATAGAGATGGAATTGGATTTATGCTATTCCCACTTGGGCGGAACTGATATTTTTATCTCAGCCTCTGTCTTTGTCGAAGGTGGATGTTTGAATGTTTGGATGTTTTGAATGGAAACAAAGAAGGTTGACGGCGGGGTAGTCGGCCCTGGCGGCTGGTAAGTCAGGCGGCCAATCGGCTTGCTTGATTGTAAAGGCCGATCGATGGATTGTGGATAGGTATTGGAACGATATGGCTACCTTATAGCATCAGAGACAAGATGGTCTTGGAGTGTGGATACTTGCAGAATATCAGAGGGAGCGGGAAACTTCGACGCATGGCTTTATGCAACTGTGTTGGTGAGACAGGCCGAAAAATAATGCTCTTCCTTAATTTCATCGATCCTTTTCCAATCCCTTAGCGAAGCACACATACACGATCCCCGCATGCGGAAGGTGCCAGATTTTCCCCTTCGGATTTGGCACCGGCTAACCAACCCATCAGGTGATCTTCACGACGGCGCTGGATTGAGCGATGCTGTTCTCCCAAATGGAGTCCTATCCAACCCAATCTTCGAAGAGATTGACTGCGACGTTCTCACAATTGGTGGGTCAAAAGATATTCTGAGTCTGGAAATTCTCTAACTCAACTCTCGATATAGGCAACCACGAGCTTTACGTGTCCGAGATTGCTGATGAGCAGCAGGTAACTCTTACAGGTTTGGTCGGAGAGAAATGCCAACCTGCCCTGCAGCTTCTACAACTTCAGCAAAGTCTGGGGCGACAAATCGTGACTAGTAACGTCCAAATTCTCAACCCAGTAACGGGCGCTTTCGATTACATCGGGTCCGAATACCGCTACTTCTCCACAGCCCATGGTAAGCTTATCCTTGGCCAGCGCTTGGAAACAGTAACAGGCTGTCTGATCTACGTTCTCGGTCTCCGTATCATGACCTTCGGCTTTCTCTTTGACTTCACCGGGAACTCCAATGTCTCCAAGGTGATCAAGCGGCATCACCCGCCGCCAAACCGTCGTGACCCCGGGCTACCTCACCACCGACGACTTCGGCAGCGACGGCGACGACAACCCGCACTCCCCAATCCCATCGTGCGCGCAGCCTAACTACATCCAGGGCAATGCCTCGTTCCCCGCTGACGGCAGCACCCCGGCTGTCGTGCACGTCGTCTTCTTCGACTACTTCGCCAGCACGGTGGTGCAAGTGCTGAATAGGTTCCGGGGCGGCGCGTACACCATGGACGACGTGGCGTACTACGTGAACAGCAACTACACGGCGCAGAACTACCTGCCGGACTTCGCCAGGTTGATGTGGCAGGCCAACGTGCCGACTTTGTCCGGTCGGGCTGGGCATAGGCTATGATGAGTAAGTGGTGGCCATCTGGCTTTTCACTCCTCAGTCAAGAATCAAGATGGAAGGAAAATAGGGGAAAATCAATCATCGATATTTTTGCACCTTGATTTGAATAGACAGATTTTCACAGCGGGAGAGATATTTCGCGTCTACCTAGTGAGAACTTAGCTTTGAGCTGATTGGGCGGAAAAATTATGTGCTAGCGAAATCAAGCTCAGCGGGCATTACTAAATCAAATCAGACCAGAAGGTGGTTTGGAAGCTTCGCTTACGTCCTATAGCATCTCTCTCACTCTCTCTCTGAAACCCGATCAATTTGGAAAGGAAACGCTCCCGACCCCACCATCTGCGAGGCAGGCTAGAACGCAGCATGCACGCCACTGTAGTCAGAATCTTGTCGGAACAATTAGAACGTTTGCGAAAGCTTCTAGATTTCAGGGTTTCAGCCTCCAAAGAGGTCTTCATTCCTCTAACGGCTAGAGGCCTCACTTTGCTCTTATAGAGCGTCATTTCCCTAACCAGAACAGTATGCCTATCAGACTACAGCCAAAGTCTTGAGTTGCAATACAACCCCCCCCCCCCCTCCCTTTCCCCCGCCCCAACTCCATATCATACCAACATAACTCCTCTCTTGCTTCCGTTCGTTCATTCGCAAATGACAATCATAATGTCACAAATCACCCGCTGGAGAGTGCGATGTCGGATGTTCAGGCCGCATCTGAAATTTCTCTCTTCCATCACCCGGTTCCAGGTTGAAAAGCTGCAGCAATGCTAACCTGGCCCGTCCCCCGCACTTTGCCGGAATTTGAAGGGTAGCGAGCTTCGTACCGCAGGTTCCTACCCTCGACCACCGCAACAAGGTCATACTCCACCTTATAGTGAGCTACGCCGTGGGGGCCGGGTGGTGGAAGTATTGGCTGGATTCTACCCTCGTCTCGCAGGAAGGTCATGTCGACGACGATCTTGCCCGCGACTTGGGCATCTTTAAGACAAAAATTAGTGCGGGTTGTGGAAGTGGAAGAAAGGGTGGCTTGTTACCTTTATTTCTGGGATCGGTCAGGGCGTAGTGAGACTCGGTGGCGATGTCGGAGACATACAGCACTTCCTCGCACAGGAAGAGGGGCTCATCGACCTCGAAGGTATGGTATGTTGTGTACGGGGTGAATATATGCATAGAAGGAATCACGGTCCCCTGTCGATGGATGTCAGTTAATCCAGGAGGGGGTGTCAGGCAAGTTGCACATACTTTGACTATAAAATAATCAATAACCGTTACATAATCTTCACCGTCCACCTCATCCCTTTCAGCTTTGGCACGTCGATGACCCACGAGATACTTAGGGTTATAGGGTTCGATACGCAGAAAGCCAAAAGATGAGTTTGCCTCTCTGGTAGGGCCTTGTTGCTTGTTCAAGGCACGTAGGACAGCTCCAGATGCCACGGCAGTCACGCTTTCTTGATCGTTGGTCGTGACCAGTCGAATCTCGTAGGGTAAATTGAATTCTTTTTGGAAGTCCTCCAGAAACTTCCCGATGAAAGTCCTAAGGGAAGGGGCGGCTCCTAGGTAAGAAGTCAGCATACGCATATTTTCAAGTGTGTCGTTACCTATTATAACAAAGTGCTCATGGGACTACGTGACATGATGGACTGCCCTCCTACAACGTACCAAAACCACCAATGAGGAAGACCTTTTTGACTACTTTCCTTTTGGTCATAACCATTTCTATCTGATCTCGGAGGACTGCCGCTACACGACGAAGCAGTGGCAGGAAAATCGCTTTGTAGTCGTCACTAGTTCCCGAAATCAGCTCATCGTGGTCAGTCTTCGGGCAGACGTGATTGGGGATACTCACGAATCTATCTTCAGGAAATCATTTTCCAGATTTCTTTTTCCGCCGGCCGATGACACATTTTTCATAAGCCCAGGTATCCTGAGCCTGCTGGACTTGTTACTAGAAATATCGATTCTTCGCTTCAAGTGATTCTCTACACGAAAGGACAAGAATTTAGCAAACTCCAGCTCTTGCACGTCTCCGGGAATGAGCTGCTCCTGAGACAACCCGGAACAGGGAATTGGACTGACCAAAATTGGGGACTAGAGCCCGGACTAAAGACTTGCGGTCGATCGTCTTCCTATCCACTGAATGACATAGGGTAGTCAGTATCTGCCTGACTGAACAAGAAAGTTTCGGAGTGGAGCAAGAAATCCTGAAACAGGGCAATAAGGGCTCCCCAGTTACGTACGGTAGTCCTCGCCGGCAAGTCGCCCTAATATATGTTTCTCAAAGTTGACATTGAGATAACTGGCGCCACAATTGTCTCCAGTAGGTTTTCCCACTTCTGCTTTCAGCCGCAGTGGGTAGCTGTCAGTTGCCGTGTATGAGACCGCATCGACTGTTCCGCCACCGCAATCAAGAACAACAAACGTCTCTCCAGCAATCATTTCATGGGATTTTCTGAGAAGATAAGTAGCCGCAGCTTCGGGCTCTGTGATAATGAATAGGTTGTCGACGCTGCCATAACCCAAAGTTCCGAGTCCAGTAGTCCTAATAGCAGCTTCCCTAGATCACGGATTGGTCAGCATTTGCCATTTGCCAATGTTGTGTAGGAAATTGGTGATGTCCCAGGACCAGTTTCTGAGACTGAAAAAGTATGAAATAGGGCCAACGATTGTCTTACATGGCATATTGAAGGATTCGTGACGACCTGGGTGACCATATCGCCGGGACCGTCATCACGAAGGATACTTGGCATTCCTCAGTGAGACCCTCGGTCTCCATTAATTGCTTCTTTGTGTGTTGGAAGACCTCGATCAAGAAGTCTGATATGGTGTCTTGCACGTCTCGCTCGTTGGGAGAGTATCGTTTTCCATATTTCTGAATGAGACCTTGCGATATGAGATGATCAAGTTTGGGTCTAAGACGATCTCGATCTTCTTGCGTATGGGCCGTGTCAACGAGCATCAATTTTGGCCGCTCGATGCATCTGATCTCGTCGCGAGGCCGAGCTGCATTTTCTTCATACTTATGATACGGTACTTCATATCCCCAAAGGAACTTTGAGAAGTCTTCGTCATCCTCTTCGTCGGAGTTGTAGAGGTTGGCGTCACCGTCTAGATGTCTTGGCACAGGCCTAGTAGCAGGTCCCACAACGCCAGGTTTGTCATCCCACTCGCCGATTTCGTATTGATCCGGTGGCAAGATTCTGGTCTTAGGTATCGTTGAATACCAGCATTCCGTGGGGACTTGACGACGCATTCCACTCATTCCATCGTCGGGCCAGTTGACAATATTTTTGATATCAGAGGGCAAAGCTTGTGGATTGTCCTCGTTTTCAGGACATGTGTAGTAAGAGACAGAAGTGAATGTTGTGCCGTAATCTAGCCCGATGACAAATTTCTTTCGCCCATTGCCTTCGTCCATCTCCAGGAAATCGTTGAAGTTCATATGATTGCTAATAGCCCGAGCAGGTCGTGCCATGGCTTGAGAACCAAAAGTTGGAGCAAACTCATCCCCGTCAAATTCGCTGTCACTGTATATTTTGCGGGCCATACTCGTGCGCTTCCCTCTTCCTCTCCTCGCCTTATTCTTCGAAGGACGCGTTTTAGGCTTCGCTGGTGCCTTTCTGGGCCTCTTGCCGCCCGGAACTGGTCCTGTGACCGTGATTGTGTCTTCATCAGGTAGTTCACCAGAGACCGCGCTTCTTTTCAACGTCTTATCAGGAGACTTCCGAGGCTTCGAAGTCGGTTTCGTAGCAAGTGAAGGCATAGCCCCATTTCGCTGCCCTGCGACAAGGACGTCTAATCTCATGCTAGAGAGGTCTTCGTCATCTTCTTGGGGGTACGAGTGTGAATTCGAGGTCATTGGAAAAGTAGGGGAAGGCCGCAATCCATTTCCTCGGGAAGCTTGGGAGAAGATCTCTCTCCTCATGACATAGGGTGCCGCTCCATTCGCTTGAGCAGAGGCACGGGGCTTGGAGATAGGATTGGGATCTGGAGCCAATGGCGCCAGCGCTCTGTTTCCTGAGAGCTGGGATGTTTTGCGCGTAGTAGTAGAAGAAAGGGCCGGATTCGTGCCACTTCCTCGACGGGTGTTCGAGATCAGTTTTGATGGAACTGGAGCAGTTGGCGAGCGCGCTCTAGGTCCTGGCTCTTCCCGGAACAGATCGCGCACCTGAGTAGTGAGCTGTAGGCTCACTCCGTTTCCTCGGGCGTGGACACGGGTTTTAATGGTGGGTTTTGCAGGACCGGCTGGCGGGCGCGCTCCATGCAAAGAAACGTGAGAGTTGGCACCAGTTCCTTCGAGATGACTCGGGGGATTCGCAGCAACTTGTGACGGCGCGTCTTCTCTTTGCGCTGCGTTTGTCTGTGCCTCGATATCTGGCATTTCATCGTCCTGTGCGAGAAATTTGCTGATGAAGTCGTCGTCGAATTGACGCCTAAACGCCGCTAATTGATCGGCCTGAGCCTGGGCAATAGCTTCTTCGTCCATGACTCCACGGCAAGCGCAAGATCAGATATCGTGTTCGATTGACGCGTGCATGCAGGATGATGGGAGGTAGAGGACGGGGTTGAGGTTCAGGTTATTAAGCCGTTCTAGCTAACAGATAGGCCAGCCTTAGGCTCGACCTTTTACGCGTACGCGTTGGAATCGACGATGACGTGAACAACGACAGCCACAACCACAACCAGACAACCACAACCACAACCACAACCACAACCGCAACCACAACCCTATCTCCCTTCTTGCTTTTCCCAAGTCCAGATGGCCACCTCCTCACCACCACCACCGCCACTGTCACTCCCCGCGGGCAGAGCGAACATCGAGGCAACTGAGAATAACCCTCCCGGTAAAATTCCGTGGTACCATGCCACGGATGTTGCTCTTTGGGCGTGGCTCGACTTTTGCAACCTCACCCAGCACCAGATGACTTTCAACGACACGATTCCCCAACATCTAACAGCAACTCACAAAAAGGAAAAGGGCTTAACCCATCACTATACGCTAAAGTCTGTGTGGAGAAGGCTTCTATCAATGGCACACCGGTCCTCGCGCTGCGATATACGCGGTAGTGTCTCGGAGTGTATCAATGAGCTTTCGCCTGAGCTGCAAAAGGATATTCAAGATGCCGTCGCTCAATACACGCAGGAACACTTAGAGGCCAGGTACAAGCACGAACCGGATCCAGCCAGCTCATATTCTACATTGGGCTCGCCCGCTCCGTCGACAAATACTCACTCCAAAAAAAATGTGTGGAATCATGATATTCAGCTTGCAATGGCCGCATGGCTAGACTTCTGCATCATGAATCCGCAGCAGGTCAGCTTCGATGGCACTATCTCCCAGCATCTGGTAGCAACCTACAAAGAAGCAACAGGGGAGATCTACAAATATACACTTCGGGCTGTAAAACAGAAGCTCTACTTGATAACAGACCGAAGCAAGGCATCCGAATTTCGCGCAAAAGGCTCCGAGTGCATTGCTGACCTTTCACCTGAACATCGGAAAAAGATCAAGGATGCTGTCACTCGATACACGGAAGAACACTGGGAGACTCGATACCAACACGGTCTTCCACATCCTCGCAAGCAAGCAGATTTGGACCAGGACCCGTCCTCGATATCTGTGGACAATTATTCTAATCAGCCACCCAAAGTGACAGCAGACACTATGTCCCCTCCAGTCAAACATTTCCGAGAGAAGCCAGCGCGGAGGATCACACTCATGTCCCAAGTTGCTACTTCGCCAGACGACAAATGGCAAGCGGCTCTTACCAGAAAGAACCTGGAAATCGAAACAATGCGCTCGAAGTGGTATGAAGAAGTCGACGACCTCCGCGATATGCTTTCGCAATCGAAGCGGAATGAACTAGCGCTTCGAGCTGAAAATCAGCACTTAGTCATTGCTCGGCAACAGCGAGAGGCTGCAGGCAAAGACCCTCTCGAGCAAGAACTTTTCCAGTTGACAGGTACAATCTGGTCCCTCAACAAAAGAGTTTACGAGATGCAAAAATTGGCCAGTTTCGCAAACCCAAGAGAAGAAACGAACAAAGTTCTTGAGCCGGCAGTCGTTGACGAAGCCATGGATAACATTGCATCGGAACTTGAGATGCTCATGTATGGACATACCCTGAACACTAGGCTTCTAATGCCTACTTCCGCAGGAAATTTTGATCTTGTTGATTTGCTTGGCTCTATTTTTGAGGGTTCAGCCGCTGAGCCACAAGATAACATGACTAGGCTTCACGATATGGTATGCAATGGGGAGCTCGCCTCTTATTTATGATTGCTCACAAGCCCTCGAGAACACATTTTATCTTCTCCTGAAACCTTCAAGCGTTCACTAACCAACATTTGTCCTTGCAGATCGAAAAGTACCGTCACGGAATCGTAGTAAGGATATTGACCGTGGCTGCGTTGCGAAAATGGGTTTTTGCAACGGCGTTCCCTGACTTTTCGCCTCGCGATATGCCATTATTGAAAGCATACAGAAATATCATTATCACTCATGGTAAGTGTGTATATTACTCGAGGTCGATACCGCGTCAAGCTAATATTCTACAGATGGCTGGAGCAGGCTGCATAATCTCGAGCTCGCCGCGTATAACGCCTTGGTCGAGGAGAAGGGCTTCCAGGAGATAGTGATTCCTGTAGGTACAAGGACAGCCCATTTTATCCGATTTGATTGTGTCTACAGACCTGTTTGTGAAGACATGCCTACACTCTTTCCAAGATTCTTCTGCTCAGGCAAATGCTAACTCCGCTTGTCCTTCTAGCGAAAGGCTGAAGAGCTTGCAACACGGCTTTCGCAAGCACTTGGACCGTTGTTTACTAATAATACTCAGCATCCCGAATCTTGGGGAGACAACCTCGATATTAGTGAGGAGCGCCATGCTCACTTCATAGAGTTATTCGAAAATGCACTACGATTAAAAGCCTCCATGGTAGCCGTTGACCAAAGTTTTGAATTCGTGCTGTACAGGCCAGGGACAACGACGAACCACACCGCCAATCAAGACCAAGCATATTGGAAGCTAGCTTCCATGCATATTTACAGGTCTGAAGCTTCTTCGCCGCGCGACGCTCTAGAAGACGCAATCGTGAAGTCGAAGAACATGGTAAATAAGAACGAAGAGCAACGAACACATTCTAGCCTGCACACCAAGATTTTGTTCGTGCCAAAGCAAGTTTCTGGAGATGTTGCTTCCAGAGAAATCACATCACGATATAGGAGTGTTTCAGTCGAGAGTTCTAGTGGTGACGAGGAAGACAGAGACAGTGACGGGGCGTATAGGGGACATGGAAGAAGTAGCCCAGGACTCGACCCACGCAATGGCTTGACGTACTACTGCGATGTTTGTGGTCGATCATTCGTGTCTGAGAGGAATATCACAAGACACAAGGAGAGGGGTAATCCACACATGTTAACGGATTTTAGTAATCGGAAGCTGATTGTTTGTTACAGAGGCATGTGCGAAATGTTCGGAGTGCGCTACGTACTTCCCAACCGACGCAGAGCTTCGAACACATCGCAAATCCGAACACAGACATAGTGAAAGCCCGATAAAAGTAGACCGTGCTCCCAAGCCAGACCGTGCTTCCAGACCAGAGCGAAAGGATCAGTATGCGAGCTATGCGGCAAAAGACATTAGCGATATATTCAAAAGTGAGTCATGCATAAGGGTACGTGAAATTTCTCAGCTAACATCACCCAGAAGTAGGGAAGAATTTCGCGTGTTCGCATTGTAGCAAACAGGCTTATCACAGAAGTCATCTTATTGAGCACGTGCGGAGTGAGCACCCTGGAGTGTACACAGAAAGCGAGCTCCAATATGTGCCGGATCAGAGATCCCGAAAGAAACGGAAACGTGAGGACTTCAGCGAAAACGAAGATGATGAAGACGACGAAGGCGAAGGCGACGAAGACGAAAGTGGCGATAGTGAAGTTGGACAACTCAAAGACGGTGGCAAACGGAGACGATTAGAATTGAAACACTTAACGCGGCAGCAAAGTAAGCCTGAGCCAGACGAGTCGGTACGTGATTGTATCATTTTTGTTTTCATTCCCCTTACTGTACCTGACTGTCTTAAGATGGTGGCATGTTCTATAATATTTTTACGAATTTTTAACCGAGTAATTGCTAAGTACTGTATGCCTTACAGAAGAGAGGAGATGACGCAGATGAGGACAAGATGGTAGACATTCAAGTGAAGCTAGATGCAGACCGAGACCTAGACCGGGAAGTGCCAGCTACACAGAATTCAAGCAGCAACAGCTTGTCGTCACTCGAGGAGTTCTACAAGCCCCAAAAAGAACAAGAGCAAGCTCCCCCACTGGAGACACATACACCATCAATGACATGGAGTAGTTCGAGTAAACAATCCCGTCTGGGCTGTGAAAACTGTGCGAGGATAAAAGCAAAATGCGATGGCCAAGCGCCATGTTCACGATGTGTAAGCGACGAAATACACGAGTCGTGTAAATATGTCAGAAGGGGACGTGGCAGACCTCGATTAGATGGGTCGCTGTCTATGACACGGATGAACGACGAGAGCGATGACGGTGAATAAATGTGCTAGTATCGTACGTCTTTTGCATACCCCTTACGCTTCGCCCGACAGGTTCTGTGCTTGTAACATACGGGTGCAAAGCAACTGCGGGGACTTTAGAGTTCTACTGTAACTTTACAGCTTGAGGCTTCAGCTTCGTGCTGTTTGCCACAAACGTATCATGACTGGTTGGTGCTTGGCCAAGCAACAACCTGTTACCTGTGTATTGTACCTTAGCATTAGCAGAATGCCAAGATCAATACTCTTCAGTTATCCAGACCCTCCAGTGATCCTAGTAATCCAATTGAAGTCAGATCAGAGGACAGCTGCGTCCCTGTGATGCCAATTGTACTGAACGAATTGCCGGTCGAGAAGCATCCGCCCACCGCACCATCGAATAGTGCATGAGCAAAGATTTTGAGGCGCGTCGCGTCTGTAATAATACGATTAATTAAATATCTATCTCACTTACATCCAGCTCTTTATGGAGCTAATCGTCCGGGCGTTCCTTTGGGAACGATAGGTAGACCTGCGATAACTTGCGCGCCTTCCTATCTTGGAAAAATCCAAGTTGTTTCAAAACCAAGATGAAATCGAGGGGGTGGGGGTAGGGGGGTTTTTTCGGCTCTTTTTTTTTCCCCCTGGCTCAATTAAACATTCCTCCGGGGATAGAAGAGGTGCTTCGAGTTCTATCAAGCAGGAGTGAGTCTGTGAAGGCCGTTTTGCGAATGGAGAGAAGAATCCCTGACAGTACTAGGCAACTGCTGTTGGCCACTTCAGCGAAAACATTAAAATCAATATTAGATATTCAGTTATTACTTTTTTATTACGCAATAATCACAGATCTAAATCGGGTTAAAAAAACCTATTCCGTTTTTAAACTTACTTTTTTTTTTTTTTTTTTAAGTTACTAATT